CGACGAATCTCCCAGGCACTTGTGATAAATGAGACTTACTAGCAGATGTTTGTGGGGACTAATCTTCAGCTAGGGCCCCAGGCTATATTCTGCGGCTGATGTGTTTTCTTGGGCCTTGCTCACCCTCTGTCTGTCTCTCTCTCTCTCTCTCTCTCTCTCTCAAAAATAAATAATCATTTTTAAAAATTTTTAAAAAAAAGATCTCTACGAAGAATGTTCCTCCGAACAGGCTCTTTTTCTATGATCAGCCAATTTGGGGAAACACGGGGAAATGTAATAAACAGTGTTCTTTATTGTGGGACTTCTTAGAAGTTTTAATATGTGAATATGCGTTGTTAATTTCCAAGAGGAAAATGTAACAGGCAACATTTTCTAGTTTTTTCTGACAATCGAAACTCTTTTTATTTTACTTTGCAAAGAGCATCTCAAAAGGCATCTCTGGTGGTGGGGCGGGGGGAGGGTGGTAATCTTTGAGAAGACCCAGCAAAGCACTTGTTAAAAAAGTCTCTGGTTTGACATCAAGTATATAAGATGCACATAAATCAGAAAGGGGTCAAGAATGACATTCTTTATTTCTACTCGGCTTTGTCCATGAACACTGAGAACATCAACCCTCCTTAGAATTCAGCCCGTGTTCCTGACAATATAATTAAAAACCTTGTGGTGATGTGACCCACGAGAAGGCTGTGTGTGTGTGTGTGCGCACGCGCGCACACAAAACACTCCCTGGGTTGGTAGAAGTTCAAGGAGCTTCTGGGTCTCTAAAGGAAGAAGCGTGAAAGGTCTTCTCGTGGCCCCATAACTGCTGTCGGCCCCTGGTTTAGGTGGAGAAGGCTCTCTCCTCCCACCTGGGTCAAGGTTTTTATCAGACGCTCAGGGACGGTTGATATCATCTTTCCGTATAGCATTTGTGTGAGTGTATCAGGCACACGCCATATGCAGGTCCACCCTGAAGCCTGGACCTTTGACATCATTTAGGAGCTGAGGCTTCCCACCCTTCCCACAAGCCCAGCACCTGCAGAATCTTTTCTCCAAATTCCCAGGTCACCGGCAAAGCAACTCCCAACTGGCTAATTTCCTAAGTCCTGCCTTCGGTTTTGGGGGCTACTGTGACCCAACCTCCTCCGGTGTTATAAATAGCGCTGCTTCTCATTTTGTCCAGTTAGGTGATTCTTTCTAGGGAGCACTGTCTTGCCCAGTTCCTTGTCCTGGAGTGAGCATGACCTCATGTTGCAGGGGAGGAGAAGTTGCCTCAGGTGACATCGAAAAGCCAAGTGAGTTAAGTTCTTCTGTAACAAGGCTCCCCCTTCCACCCCGCCTGGTGTTCTAATGCAAATATCTGGACTGTTCTGCCTCAGACACTCTATCCTGCCTGGAATATCCTAATCTTCATCTATTAAAATCATAGTCCTGTTTGGAAGCCTGGCACAGTGGCCGCCGCCTTTATGAAGCCTTCGCCATGCCCGGCGCTGTGAATAACCTCTTCTTCCTTTCTATTCCAATATCATATGTGAATCTTTGTGATAATCATGGTCATATTTTCCCCTGTTTTAGTTTCATCTCGATCCCCGCCACTGTGGTCCACTCACCTTTGTATCCCTCCGTTCCCCTCATCCTGTGCTTGACAAGGAAATGGCTTTTAGCAAATTTGTTCTGTGCTGCACTGAATGCTCTTTCCAGAGGGTTTTGCTGCACCCCAGGGCATGCTTCTCTAACTCTGGTGTGTGTCTTAGTCACGAGGAGAGCTTACTAGAGATACAGATAACACCAGATAGAAAAGAGAGCTGAGGGGCATAAAAAAGGCAATGCTATGAGGATGGGAAAAGGAAAGGCAATTAGGAACTCCAGGAAAAGCAAAAGGCTGTACAAATAACTTAATGTAATGATAGCATCTCCTTGATTCTGTGATGAACAATATTCATACAGTCTAAATAATTTTCGATTTATAGAAATTATTGATTTATAGAAAACAGCAATATAAGTATATTAGGAAGATGGCAGGGGCGCCTGGGTGGCTTAGTCGGTTAAGCGTCCGACTTTCGCTTAGGTCATGATCTCGCGGTTCGTGGGTTCGAGCCCCGCGTCGGGCTCTGTGCTGACTGCCAGCTCAGAGCCTGGAGCCTGTTTNGACTCTGCAAAGGAATGGCTTTCCCAGCCCTAAACCAAGTTCAGCGGTCCCCGCGCTAGCCTCGCTTTGAGGATTTAACGAGATAATGGACAGGGAAGCCGCTCTCAGTTACGATCCACTGAAATTTCGCTGAAATAAAACAAGTTGTACCGGGGACTGTTTGTACGTGGCTCTAGCACAAATCGGTTTCTTTCTTTTTTTTTTTTTTTATTATTTTTAATTATTTCTGAGAGAGAGAGAGAGAGAGAGACAGCCTGAGCAGGGGAGGGTCAGAGAGAGAGAGAGGGAGACACAGAATCGGAAACAGGCTCCAGGCTCTGAGCTGTCAGCACAGAGGCTGACGCGGGGCTCGAACCCACGAACCGTGAGATCATGACCTGAGCTGAAGTCGGAGGCCTAACCGACTGAGCCACCCAGGCGCCCCACACAAATCGTTATCAATGACAGCACACTGTAAGCGTCCTCAGGGCCAGGGTCACGTCACCTACCTTCCCTGGAAGTTCTCAGGGACAGAAGTAAGCTCGGGGAGCATCTTCAGATCACAGAGACTCTTCCTCTTTTGTAGGAGAGAAAACTCCAGGTAACTCTCGTACTCAAGAACCTGCGGTGGCTGCCTACTCCTCCAGCACTGAGTCAAGTTCCTCTTCTTCTTTTTTTTTTTTTTTTAATTTATTTCTAGGAGAGAGAGAGAGAGACAGCGTGAGCAGGGGAGGGTCAGAGAGAGAGGGAGTCACAGACTGAAACAGGCTCCAGGCTCTGAGCTGGCAGTCAGCACAGAGCCCGACGCGGGACCCGAACCCATGAACCGCGAGATCATGACCTAAGCGAAAGTCGGACGCTTAACCGACTAAGCCACCCAGGCGCCCCTATTTTTTTTTTTTTTTAAAAGGACTGTAGATATCTAGACCTCATTTAGACCAATCGAATCAGAATCTCCTGCACTGGGCATCTGGACTTGTATTAACTTCCTGGGTGATTGTCATGCCCAGCAAACATTTGATAACTGAAGTGATGCTTATATGCAGCTATGGAAATAGGAAGTAGGCAGACCTCATTTGGGGACTTGGGAGGGGAGTGGAAGTTCCCAAGCAACCTGCTCATGGGTTTGGTGACCATATTTTCCAAACTGAAAATCTGCGACTGCCTTCAGTGCCTTCTAGAATGCAGGATCATGAGCCTCCTGCATCTGTGGGGGTAGAGACAGAAGACTTACAGGAAGAAAGCTGCATCCCCCAGAGGAGAGGGGTGGAAGGCCCTTCCAATAGCTTCAGCTCTAAGTACTGCTGCATCATGTGCACCCCACTTAAAGCAAAGGCCATACGTACTGACGGGGGCACGTGGAAGGGTACGGCTAGGCACCGCCCCTTGGTGGCCCCCACTGGGGCAGGATGGAGGGGGTAAGCAGCATATGAGAGGGTTCCTACTTGGAGCCTTTTACTTAGACCTCAGGAAGACACCACTAATGCTATAAGGCTGGGAAAAGGCAATTAGAAACTCCAAGGAAAACAAAAAGCTGGTTAAGAAATTTAATGTGTTAAGCCTGAGGTCCAGAGAGAAATGGGGGGAGGCCCTCTCCTTTCCACCTTGAGGGGTGTGCTTTCCTAGCAGGAAGGGCAGAGCGTTGTGGCCCCAAGTATGGGCTTGGGTCTGTGCCCAGGCTGTCTGACACTGTGGAGTTCAGCTACCCCTTTCTTAGCTCCTTAGGATATAAAACAAAGCAACTTTTTTTTCTGAAATAGGTGCTCCAAATACCAACTGTCCCTTCCCTCTTGTCTTCCTCCCCCATTTCCCTTACCAACCCACAGAAGTTCAAAAGATATGCAATCGGGGCTGAGTAATCTGGCAAAAGCGGGGTTGAGCCCACCAACCATATGACCTGAAATCCTGAGCCTCAGTTTCCTCATCTGCGAGCTGAGGAAATAATATCTACTTTATAGGGTTATTGCAAGGATTTCCAGAGACAAAGGTCTTGCATGTTTAGGATTCTTATTTCTGGAAGGTGCCCCCCGAGAGGTAGGTTCCCTTCCCGCCAATGATGATAAAAGTCAACTTTCCAAGAGAACCTGCCATTTCTTTTTTTTAAATTTTATTGTTAAGTTTATTTATTTATTTTGAGAGAGACAGAGACAGAGCAAGGAGGCAGACAGAGAGAATCCCAAGAAGGCTCCACATTGCCAGTGTGGACCCTGATGCGGGGCTTGAACCCACAAACTGCAACCTGAGCCGAAAACAAGAGTTGGACACTTAACCGACGGAGCCCTCCAGGGGCCCCCGAGAGCCTGGCATTTCAAGACCCCCTTAAAAGTGCAAGGATGCAGGGGCGCCTGGGTGGCTCCGTCGGTTGGGCATCTGTCTTCGGCTCAGGTCATGATCTCATGGTTCGTGGGTTCGAGCCCCGCGTCGGGCTCTGTGCTGACAGCTCAGAGCCTGGAGCCTGTTTCAGATTCTCTCCCTCTCTCTCTGACCTTCCCCTGCTCACGCTGTCTCTCTCTCTCTCTCTCTCTCTCTCTCTCAGAAATAAATAAAACATTTTTTAAAAAAGCGCAAGGATGCAGTTTAGAGTTAGACAGGGTTTTCCGGGGGATTGGGTGGCCGCTAGCAAACGGTCAATGCGAATGCTTCCAACACCATGTCTCAGGAACTGTTGTGAGGCGAGGGACCCAGCCATTTACTCCTTATAATAACTCTCTCTGACAGGCACCGCTGTCGTTCCTATTTCACAGATGAGAAAACAGAGGCTCGGAAAGGTGAGGAAGCTTGCCCGAGGATGCAGAGGGCGCTCAGCGGCAGAGCTGGGATTCAAACCCAGGCAGCCTGGCTGCCAAGCCCCCTGACCCTGCCGCCCCACCCCTGCACCTGCGGCCACACTCACCTGAGCTGCTGAGGCCTCCTCCACAGGACTGTGAGAGCCCCACATGGAGCCGGTTCTGGATGAACTTGTCATCCCCCGGCTCCCGAAGGTACTGGACGGCCCGGCTCTCATTGTCCCCCCCGCCACGCGGTGTGCCTGCTGCGATGAACACACCGGGGCCTCCCGCGCGTTCCTGGCACAGCGGCTTCGCCACCCGGCGGGTCCCCTCGCACCAGTGGCTGCTGCCCAGGGCGGCGAGGGAGAAGGCCAGGGCGAGGCAGGCGGGGAGGAGGGTGTGCACCTGCTGTCACCCGGCCCCGTCCACGGCTGGAGGAGCTGTGCGGCGTGGGGCTGAGCAGCGGGCCCCTCCCCGCCTCCGCGTGCTACCTGCCGCCCTCAGCCCTCCCATCGGGCACCCTGACGGCCTTCTCTCCCATCCCCGAGGGGCCCCCAGCATGTGGCGTCCATGTGTGCGCCTGTGGCCGAGAAGCCGCTGGAGAAAGAAAGCGCGGAGCCAACGTGTTCCCATCAGCCGCGCTGGCTCCTCAACCCTCCCCAGGGTGTGGGTGTGCAGGGCGGCGCTGGCTCTCTGTTTTTGCCTTTTTAAACTCGGGTGAAAATATGCAGAAAACAAGATTTACCATGGTGACCATTTTTTACTTTCCTAGTGCTGTGCACCCAGCCTCCAGACCCCTTCCTCTCGGCCCCCAGCCAACAGGGATCCCCCATCCCCGTCCCCAGCCCGGGCACCTGCCACTCCACTTCCTGTCTCTGTCTACGAACCGGGCCACCCCGGGGACCTCCCACGGAGGGGAGTCATGCAGTATCGTCTCTTCGTGACCCATTTCTTTCACTCAGCGTAACGTCCACAAGGCTCACCCGTGTCGTAGCAGGAGTCAGCATTTCCTTCCTTTGTTTTTATTTATTTATCTTTTAAGTTTCCTTTTATTGATTTTGAGAGATAGTGAATGGGGCAGGAGAAGAGACAGAAGGAGAGACAGAATCCCAACCAGGCTTCACGCTGTCGGCGCAGAGCCCAACGTGGGGCTCGAACTCACAAACCGTGAGATCATGAGCTGAGCCAAGATTGAGAGTTGGGCGCTCAAGTGACCGAGCCACCTGGGGCCCCATAGGTTTTGCTTTTTTAAAGTCATCTCTTCACCAAACGTGGGGCTCAAACTCACAAACCCAAGATCAAAAGTCACATGCTCGTCCAACTGAGGCCCCCAGGCACCCCCAGAATTTCCTTCCTTTCTAAGGCTCCGTGGCATCCCTTGGTGTGGACAAACCACACTGTGTGCATCTATCAGTGGACACTCAAGTTGCTTCCGCACTTTGGCTTTTACGGAGAGTGTCAGCACTTGATGGAGACCAGGGGCATCCGGGCAGGTGTCCGGGTGAGTCTGGACCCCCCACACCTTGCCTTTGGCATTGATTGGCGTACTCAGGGCTGTGTTCCAGGGATGCGGAATCCCACAGCCCGCACAGCCTGCTCCCTGCCCAGCCCGACAGGGACAGGGACTCCCAAGGACAACATCTGGCTTCAGGGATGGAGAGAGCGAGGTGCGGGCAGCCTGCTGTGGGGCCTCGGGGCTGTGCAGAGGAGGGGTGTGCGGCTGGACCCCGAAGCGTGTGGCACTCAGCACCGTACTGGGGCCTCCAGAGCTGGCAGGCACAGCCCTCGGCACCCTCACACCTGTCCTCGCAGTGGGGACTCTCTGGGAGTGATGACGGGCCAAGGACACTGGTGCGGGAATGGGGGCAGGAAGAATATCACAGAAGATTCCACATGGCCTTGGAAACATACAGGTCATAGATTGTATGTTAGCACCTCCTGAAGACCCCTCACATGTACCCCCAGGTGTAAGAGAGAATCACCCAGTGGGGCGGGTAGGGGAGAAGGGCAGTGCCCTGTGGGTCACTGTCACTCTCTGCCTCCGGCTGGCACGGCCCGAGAGCCCTGCATTTGTGGGCTTGGCTACCCGCGTTTTGGGCAGAGGAGTTACCACGTTTTATCGCTAGGTGGCATCTGTCCAGCAGCGAAGAGCTTGTGCAGGACCGTGACTCCTGTCCCTTCAGGAAAGAAGGATGTTATTTTTAATTAATCTTTTTTTTTTAGTTTATTTATTTATTTTGAGGGGGGGGAGGGGCAGAGAGAGGGAGAGGAGACACAGAATCTGAAGCAGGCTCCAGGCTCCGAGCTGTCGGTGGGGCTCTAACGCACAAACCGTGAGATCACGACCTGAGCCGAAACCAAGAGTCGGACGCCTAACCGACTGAGCCGCCCAGGCGTTACCCAAAAAGGATGTTTTTAAGGATAAGTTCAAAGAGATTAGATAGAATGTTCTTACAAGGCAGGCGTTTCCTTTGCCAGCACGTAGCTTGCATGATACGGAGATTAACGCGTGCTTCCAGAATGGTTTTCCAGCCATAACGGAAGGGGCAGAGCCATCGTCTGGCACTATTCTTCCTCTGTCACTTTATCCTGCTGTCCCAGAGACAGCCACACCGATGCCAGAGGCCGTATTATTGCCGTAGCCCTTGGGGAGCGGGGGGGGGGGGATTGGTCTTTGTTCAATATGAGCATTTTACTTCTAAGGTTTAAAATCTTGGCATGTGAGGATTTTATGATCTCCAAAGATTTTTTTTAATGTTCATTTATTTATTACGAGAGAGTGTCATTATTACAAGAGAGTGAGCAAGTGAGCAAGCAGGGGAGGGGCAGAGAGAGAGAATCCCAAGCAGGCTCCGAGCTGTCAGCTCAGAGCCCGACGTGGGGCTTGAACCCGTGAACCGTGAGATCATGACCTGAGCTGAGGTCATGGGTCGGACGGTCAACCAACTGAGTCACTCAGGCGCCCCAAGATCTGCAAGGATTTCTAACAAGCGATGTTTACTTGTTTTTCCCCAACGGTTCAGAAATCATTCATTCAGAAAAGTTAGCGAAGCTCTGAATGGAGGGAAAAACAAGAATAAACTAAATGAAAACACAATCTTCTTGTCTCTTGCCGACCTGCGTTTCATCCAGTCAGGACCTCTTCCTGGGCCTCCGGGCTGGACGGGGAGGGGTGGGGAGAGAAGGGCTGAGCCGATCGGAGGAACCCGTGAGCGAAAGGAACAAGACCGGGACACCTAAGGGGAGACACAGCACCTGACCTAGTGACCGTGTAGGCGGGTGATTCTGGAATCCAGGCTCCCCCCATTTACTGCTGTGTGGCCTTGGGCAAGCGTCCTAACCTCTCTGGACCTCATGTGCTCTGCGTCAAGCAGCGACCTTTGTTCACACAAGCGGGCAGTCAAGAGCTGGGCTTGACTTCTCCCCACGTCTTTTGCTCCAGTGTAGACGGGACTGAGTCCGGGTTAGGGGCTTTGCTTTAGGACCTGAGTCAGGACCCGCTCGAAGTGTTAGCATAGACAGGGCCTCGGGGAGACCCTCCCCTGGCGGCGGCCGGACAGGCTGATGCCTTAGGAAGAGACATGCCCCCCTCACCAGGAGCCCACGGCCCACCTGCCAGGCCCTCCCCCTCCTGCTGAACGGCAGCTGCAACTGTGCTGACCTTGGACGCTGAGCAGGGGCGTTGAAAGCCGAGCCCACTGACTGCCTGGCTCCCTTCCCCCCAACACACACACACACACACACACACACACACACACACACACACACACAGGCGGCCTCTGCTCAGAAAGTCCCTGGGAGCCCAGCTGCCTTGGGGAAGGTCTGGGAAAAATCTCCCTGCCCTTGTGGTGGGGGCCGGGGCGGGGGCTGAGCAGCCGCTGGGGAGAAACCCTGGAGATTCGGTAGGTGGCTCTAGACCTGTTTAGACGCTTCTCCGCCCCGCGTGCGCCGGGTTTGTGCAAACATCTCTCCCGGCGCGCGCTGTGCAGGGAGGAATGCAGGAGGGGGCCGCCTGCGGTACATCTCGGACCTTTCTAGAAGCGCGCCCGCACTTGTGAAGTCGCGGCAAGGAAGGGGAGGCCGGCACCGAGGGGTCCCCCACCCGGAGTCCACGCGCTGCCCATGGGCACCCCTGTTGCGCGGGGGGCCAGGCCTCTCTCCGCCTCCAGGAAGCCCTCGCCCCTGGTCCTCGCCCTGCTGCTGCTGGTGTGCATCAAGCAAGTAAGAGGCGTTCTGACGGTTATTGTTACAATGATTGCTCGTAGGGCGGCTTTTGTCTCTTTTCCGACGGGAGAAGCAGAGTGAGGCTCTGGTAGGCAGTTTGGAACAGGAAGGCAGGGGTGATGCACCACAGTCCGGTTGTTCAGTGCGATCACTGCTCATCTTTGGGGCATGTTTGCTGCAAATCCTTGTTCTGTGCGCGCTGCTACGCAGCCGAAATCGCGGCGGGTTAAGTGTTCTGAATCCCAGTTTCCCTTTGACATCGTTTATATCGGCATTTCCCAGTGTCAGTGTGAGCTCTGTCAATAACGTGTAAGGGACGCCTGGGGGGCTCAGTCAGTGGGTGTCTGACTTCGGCTCAGGTCATGATCTCACGGTTCGTGGGTTCGAGCCCCGCGACGGCTCTGTGCTGACAGCTCGGAGCCCGGAGCCTGTTTCAGATTCTGCGTCTCCCTCTCTCTCTCTCTCTGCCCTTCCCCTGCTCATGCTGTGTCTCTCTCCCTCCCAAAAATAAACTTAAAAAAAATTTTTTTTAAATAGCATTTAAACTTGTCACATCGGTCCCCTTGTCTGCTTTTACAGTTTTCTCAGGCCTGACTGTTTAGGTTGATGGAGGGTGGGGTTTCTTGTTTTCCTCTTATTTCCTTTCTCCTTTTCCTTCCTTCTCCATATGAAAATATAGAATGTGCAGGGGCGCCTGGGTGGCTTAGTCGGTTAAGCGTCCGACTTTCCGACTTTCGCTTAGGTCATGATCTCGCGGTTTGTGGGTTCGAGCCCCGCGTCGGGCTCTGTGCTGACTGCCAGCTCAGAGCCTGGAGCCTGTTTCAGTCTGTGACTCCATCTCTCTCTGACCCTCCCCTGCTCACGCTGTCTCTCTCTCCTAGAAATAAATAAAAATATTAAAAAAAAAAGAAAATATAGAATGTGCATTGGTTAAAAAAATAAATGTATGAAATCCAAAGAAATATAAACACTGGCTATAAATAAATCACTGTATGCACCCCCCGCAGAAATCACCCTCATGCGCTTTTGGGGGCTTGTACTTTCAGGCATTTTTCTGCCATTTATTCACATATAGTTTGTTTGTTTTTTAACATAGGATCACACTATAAATATTATCCCACAAACTGCTTTCGTCTTAACGAAATACGCTAACAGTGCTCTCTAGCCCCACGTATTAACTCATTTCATGCTCTCAGCAACCCCGAGAGGGAGGCCCTCCTGTTAATCTCACTTGCAGAGGAGAACGCTTTTCTGTGTCAGTAAAGATTGCCCCATGGTGTGATGTTTAAGGGCTTCGAGGTTGTCTTTTCTTAATTT